GGCAACCCCTCCCCCGCCAAGTCATTGCGAGTGAGGACATGATGACACAGTGGTTGTGAAACAGTTTGGCCGATCACATCTCTAATAAAGGGCACCCATTTCCAGGTTCTCCCCGGCCTGCGCGGGTGCACGCAGGTGTGCACCGTCCGCCTGAGGAACCACCAGCATGAACTGGGCATCCCTGCAGGGCCTCCTGAGTGGGGTCAACAAGTACTCCACGGCGCTCGGCCGCATCTGGCTGTCGGTGGTGTTCATCTTCCGGGTGCTGGTGTTCGTGGTGGCGGCGGAGGACGTGTGGGACGATGAGCAGAAGGACTTCGTCTGCAACACCAAGCAGCCGGGCTGCCCAAACGTCTGCTATGACGAGTTCTTCCCCGTGTCCCACGTGCGCCTCTGGGCCCTGCAGCTCATCCTGGTCACGTGCCCCTCGCTGCTGGTGGTCATGCACGTGGCCTACCGGGAGGAGCGGGAGCGGAGGCACCGCCTGAAGCACGGGCCCAACGCCCCGTCCCTGTATGACAATCCAAGCAAGAAGCGGGGTGGGCTCTGGTGGACGTACTTGCTGAGCCTCATCTTCAAGGCCGCCGTGGACTCCGGCTTCCTCTACACCTTCCACCGCCTCTACCAGGGGCATTACGACATGCCCCGCGTGGTGGCCTGCTCCCAGGCGCCCTGCCCCCACACTGTGGACTGCTACATCTCCCGACCCACGGAGAAGAGGGTCTTCACCTACTTCATGGTGGCCACAGCTGTCATCTGCATCCTGCTCAACCTCAGTGAGGTCGCCTACCTGGTGGGCAAGAGGTGCCTGGAGATCGTGGGCCCCAGGCGCCATCGGTCTCGGCGCCGGAGTCGCCTGCATGATTCGTGCCCCCCATATGCCCTCTCCCAGGGAGATCACCCCCAAGATGGGAACTCTGTCCTCATGAAGGCCAGCTCGGCCGAGGTGGATGCAGGTGGGTATCCGTAACCTGTGAGGTTGGCAACTGGGACCGCCATGTCCCCCACCTGCTCCCTGAGGCCACACAGGGCAGTGGCACTTTCTGCAGCAAGGCATGCGAGGAAGGGGACTGTGGGGCTCCGGAAGCCCACCCGGAGGCCAGTACTGGGGAGCAGTTCTGTCTCAGGGTCCTGATCCCCAGGGGAAGAAGGTTTAATGGTAGGCATTTTATATATGGCAATAGGGGATGTCAAAACCCTTAATAAATATGATTTTCTCAGTACCTTGCAGACCAGGTGGGGAGTGATGGGTAGAAGAGCAGGGGGGTCAGAAGGACCTTGGAGAGGAGGCCAGGACCACTCATGGGCACCTGAGCCTGGGAACCTCAGATCCTGGTTCAGCCACCACCCACCACACACACACACACACACACACACACACACACACACACAGTGTGCCCCCAGGACATGGTGGGGAATACCCAAAGGCAGAGACTTTTCCAGGGGTTTCTGGACTCTGCAACCAGCTGGCAAGGCAGGAGAGGGACCCCCGGAGACTCTGTGCCCAGCATAAGTCGGTTCTCGGTGAGCGTTCCTCAGATGAATGCATGATGCTCAGGAGGCTGCTGCCTCCCCATCCGGCCTCCCTGACTCTCCCCAGCACAGGCCCCGGGTGGGGGAGTCCCCTCTGAGGGGAGGAGGGAAGGCCTAGTGGAGATGGATGGTGCTGAGAGCAAGTCCCGGATGAGTGTCTGCCAGGGTGTCGAGGAGGCATATCCCCACAGGCCAGGAGCCCATTGAGAGCGTCCAAGCCAAAGGGTCCCTCACGGATCCTCCAGTCTGAGGAATTTTCCTTCTTTTTCCTGGATACACATTCCCTCATTCTCCTCCACCCCCACCTCACCACTCAGACCTTGGCAAACTCCCAAAATCCCACCTCCAGCTGGACCCGCCTGAGTCCCAGAGCGCCCACCAACCGCGCACAGGACGACCCTCCTGGAGGCCCCCAGGCATCTCCCCTCAGCAGCTCCCAAACCTGCCCTCCTCGTAGATCACTCCCCACCCCGTGAAGGGCACTGCCCGTTGTCCAAGCCAGGAGCTGGCCTGCCATCGTCATCCCCTCCCATCTCCCAGCCCCTCACACCCCACATCCCAGTGCAGCACCAAATCCCACTATTGCAGCCCCTGCAATGCCTCCTGAGTCTGCGCCTCCTTTCCCATCCCACAGTGGTAACATCTCACTGGGCCCCTCCCCTCTGCCCTCCACTATAAGGACAGAGTGGTTTTTCTATATAGGAATCTGACCATGTTGTTCCTTCTGCATTAAAAATTCTAGGGTGATGCCCTAACTGGTTTGGCTCAGTGGATAGAGCGTCAGCCTTTCGGACTCAAGGGTCCCAGGTTCAATTCCGGTCAAGGGCATGTACCTTGGTTGCGGACACATCCCCAGTAGGGAGTGTGCAAGAGGCAGCTGATTGATGTTTCTCTCTCATCGATGTTTCTAACTCTCTATCCCTCTCCCTTCCTCTCTGTAAACATCATTGATGTTTCTATCTATTCCTCTCTGAAATCAATAAAAATATATTTAAAATAAATAAGTAAAAAAATTCTCCTACCACCACCTACCATTGCCCTAAACCTGGAACCCACCCACCTTACCTGCCCCCCCCCAGCTTCCCCAGCCTCACCTGCTTCCTCCCTCCTTGCACCCATCAGTAATACCAAAGAGCTCATGGTTCCCCAACCAGACACAGCATACTGTGTTGTGCCTTGTGCCTACAGACATGCTGTTCCCTCTGCCTGAAATGTCCTTTCTCCCTCCTCTGGGATCCTTCCTAGAACCTCAGAGAAAGCCTTTTCCACCTTCTCCATGCACCAATCTAGCTTCTGCCTCTGTTATTTTCCCCAAATTGGAGCAGTCGTTTCTCTCCATCAGTCTGTGAGCCCTTCACGGGCAGGGCAGGACGGACGCTGAGTCACCTAGGCCCGGCTGCCTTCGGTAAATGCTTGTGAACTGAGTAAATGGGCTGTGAGCTGCTTGGCAGAGGGACTGAGTCTTGCTCATCTGAATCGCCCACCACACCTCGCCCAGAGAGTTTGGCAAAGTGTTTTCTCTTTATTTGTTTGTATGTATGTTGTGTTGTTGTTTTCCTAAGTCCAGCCTAAACTTCTCATTCGTAGGTGAGGAAATTTTGGCCTAGGGAGGGGACGAGACCTTCTAAGTCCACACAGAGTCTGGGAATGAGTCTACGGAGGCTGTGGCCTCTGTGGTCAAATAGAGAGCTTCCATGTTCACCCGTGATTGTGAGACAAGATCAGAGTCACCCTGTCATGTCAGGGTCC